AGGACTCGATCTGCTCCCCGCGGAGGGTCAGGTCGGTAGCTGCAGCGTGCATGCAAGTGATGCAGCGGGCCCCCCGCGCGATGCAACTGCAACGCAAAGAAAGAAATAAGCAAATTGGAGGAAGGGGTGAGCGCGAACGGCAAACGGTGGCCGTATACGAGACAAATGCGAGAGCTGTACGCGGAATTTTTTTTTAATTGCGGTGATTAAACTCTGCTTGATAGGCTTGAATAGCTAGCTGCAATTGAAACACGGTAAAAACAATGTCTCATTTTTTGAGGAAAAGGGAAAAACTTTGAGGTACTTTTATGTTTGAGGAATAGTCCTCCGATCTCACCTTAGATTTTAAGAAATATTCTCAAAAAATGAGGGAAAATCACACATTTTTTGAGGAGACTTCCTCTGAATCTGAGGAGTTTTTGTCAAACCAGGAGAGTTCCTCAAAGTTTTCCCTTTTCCCTCAAAGACTGAGACACTGTTTTTACCATGTAATATCGGATACCTACCACAAGAATTCGCTTGTCACAATCAGATACAAAACAACCCACCCTTCAGTTATCGTTGTACAGGTCTATGATTATGGCTCCAAAATTCTGGTAGAAGTAATCGGATTTCCGATTTCACGAATCAACTTTAGCCTATCAAACGGAAGTTGATAACCAGAGGGAAGTATTCTTTCCAACAGTCTGGATCATAGGACGCACTGGGACGCTCATGTGCGCACCTGAGTGGTACCCCCCCCCCCTTCTCTCTTCTCTTTTCCTCATCACTTACACACACACACACACACACCTCGGCGTCAAGTCTACGACGTGCAAATCAGTAATCATGATCACACTGCCTAGCTGCCGGTTATTGAGGGGCAAACTGCGGCACAGCCTTGGTGGTCGTGAGGCGGCGGCTGTTGCTACTTTTATTTTGTATGCCGTGACGAGGAAGTGGCAGCAAAGCAGGGGTGTGTTGTGTAGTTGTAGTGCTGCCTCCGGCGCCGAACTAGCAGGTCCACCTGAAACAGAAAAATTGAAACGTCGTCTGGTATTGACTATGACAGGAAGAACAGACAGGAGACAGGGGGCATCACCGATACGAAAAAAAGACTAACTTTAAATTTGTATACTTCGAAAATGACAAAAGTTGCGTTCTGCTCACCTATGTTCCAAAACCGCTGCAGCCGCTGTACAAATGGGAGTGGCCGTGGATTCTCACGTGAGCAGCACGTCGTTGCGTTGTCACCCTGCTGACCGGAACGAACCGAACCAGCACCACGGTCCACGACGAGCCGCACGGTGGTGGACGTTGTTGTTGTTGTTGTGGTGGTGGTGGTTGTGGTGGTGGTGGTGGTGGTGGTGGTGGTGG